GGCAAAAAACAGTCAACTGAATCAGAAGATTATTTGCAGTATGCAATTTGCAGACAACACAGGATGAGAATTCATTGCCCAAGCAAAAATATGATGCTAATGAGACAGTTTGTATGGCTTATGTTAAACAAGACATTATCACACACAGAAATCACAATTTCGTGATGCATCAAATGAACAAATTCACAAGGACCGTGACGAGGATTCGAGCCTGCGTCCGAGTGCATCCCAGACGCTGCCTTAATCGACTGAGCTACGACACGGTAAAAAGAGTTGAAACTGAAGTTCTACTGAACTTACTGGATCCTGCAGCCTCTCCTATGCTGCAGGTTTTTGTAAAACCCTGGTTTGTGCCTAGAACAGGCTGCAGGATCCAGTAAGTTCAGTAGAACTTCAGTTTCAACTCTTTTTACCGTGTCGTAGCTCAGTCGATTAAGGCAGCGTCTGGGATGCACTCGGACGCAGGCTCGAATCCTCGTCACGGTCCTTGTGGATTTGTTCAAGACATTATGACTCATTGAGATGGAAGTGATCCTTCTGGGTGTTATATGCACAATAAAGAGTATCTTGAGTTATTTGTTTAAATCCAAGAAAACTCCCATTGAACCACCTGCACCTATACAATCTAAATGCTTCAACTTTGCAAGCAGATCAGAAATTCTCTTATTGGCAAGTACTGTATAAAAAAAATCTTAAGATTTTCAATAGCATAAAACGTTTCAGATACAAGTTTTCTCGTCCAGTTTTGATATAGAAGCATCCAGTAATCGGGTGGTCATCTGTGATAATAACTGACTGGGAGGGCAGGATATTAGTAACTGGGTAAACAAAATAACATTTACCATTATATTTTAGATGCTAGTGAACAGTGTGTTGTAATGGTTGCATGAGCAACCCCTCCTCAAGACAAAAAGGCCCAATTGAATTCTATGTACTGTCGTTTCCAGGTCATGAATGAAACGTACTTTACTAACAACTTATGACATTCAAGTTTCTAAAAAATAGCTTGCTTCCCTTCTTTGACTTTAAATAACTATGTAAATAATGAATTGTTTCAAATCAATACAATGGGGCATTCTCTATATTATACACTATTCTGAAATTCTTAGAAACCTCTTTTGCTTTCTATACCCATATTAACTAACCAATTATTTTTTCACTAGAGCACCCAAGGCAACAAAATACCTTTAGGTATATTGCCAAAGACACAAAATCGCAGTCCCAAACCAAATATTCTACATCAGTGATTCTGAAAGTGAACGACAATGCTCCACAGAGGTGTTCGGAGCACTGTGGGGGGGGGGGGTACCAAGAGCTGGTTTCCAGACGTGCAGAATAATCACGCTACCTTCAGCTCTAATTAAAAACACATCATAATAATGCCAATTGAAGGTACAAAATGGAATAGGGGTTTATATAACCAAGAAGGGTTTGGGGGGGTGTTATAAGTACAACACAAAGTTTGGGGGAATTGTTGGTCTATTTAGCCAAATGCAGAATATCTCTTGCAACTGATATTATTCTTGTCTACTCTGTTTATTATGCACACAATATATAACCACCCCCCCCCCACATCGTGCCAAATCAATTCCCACCAATAACGTGTAACTTTGTCACAAGTTGTCTTTTGGCCTCTAGCTTCACCACACCATCGTCATGCCTAATCTTAATTATATTTTACTTTAATTTTATGGCAAATAAATAATAATAGTGAAAATATAATTTAATTGTAATGCTTAGGCAATAAAAATGAGCACAATTATACTAATTATCTTTAGTGCATAATTATAATTGTAAGCAAGCCATATATAAAAACAAATAAGCAAGCCATATATTAATATATATATATATATTAATATATATATATATATATATATATATATATATATATATATATATATATATATATATATATATATATATATATATATATATATATATATATATATATATATATATTATATATATATATATATATATATATATATATATATATATATATATATATATATATATTATATATATATATATATATATATATATATATATATATATATATATATATATATATATATATATATATATATATATATATATATATATATATATATATATATATATATATATATATATATATATATATATATATATATATATATATATATATATATATATATATATATATATATATTATATATATATATATATATATATATATATATATATATATATATATATATATATATATATATATATATATATATATATATATATATATATATATATATATATATATATATATATATATATATATATATATATATATATATATATATATATATATATATATATATATATATATATATATATATATATATATATATATATATATATATATATATATATATATATATATATATATATATATATATATATATATATATATATATATATATATATATATATATATATATATATATATATATATATATATATATATATATATATATATATATATATATATATATATATATATATATATATATATATATATATATATATATATATATATATATATATATATATATATATATATATATATATATATATATATATATATATATATATTATATATATATATATATATATATATATATATATATATATATATATATATATATATATATATATATATATATATATATATATATATATATATATATATATATATATATATATATATATATATATATATATATATATATATATATATATATATATATATATATATATATATATTATATATATATATATATATTATATATATATATATATATATATATATATATATATATATATATATATATATATATATATATATATATATATATATATATATATATATATATATATATATATATATATATATATATATATATTATATATATATATATTATAGATATTTTTATTTATTTTACCCACACATACATACAACTTGTAACAACCAATTATGCCTTGGTACTTGAGAAGCACAGTACAGTACAGTGATGTGTGCTGAAGGCAGTAAATGTACAAATGTTTTTTTTACAACAATATTAAAATTCATGAAATTTTATAATTTGACGTGTGAACTGCATTTAGATACTCTACGCTGTTTCGTGACTAATAGGACATAATCTTGCAACTCAAATTGTTCCTATAAATCTTCAAACACAATTAAATTGAACTAACCCTTAGGCATTACCAGCCATAATTATGCAATGTACAGATAGTTAAAATATAGAATATTTACATAAGTCAATTTAGAAGACATGTTAGTACACTAAATGCTCTAAGCAGTTCTTCTATTCCACACCACGATGCATTCAACAGTGCTTATTTATTTCGTCTATGTAAATACCTCAAACCAGCAATAAAATTTTACAATACATATGATGATGATATTATAAACTTTAAACTGTAAAAGTTAAAGTGTGGCATTAAACTTGGTTATTACAAACCATTCTACTTTATCAGGAATGCATCATTTGATTAATCAATTTTTTTTTCCAGTTACGTGTAAAATAGGCTCCAGAAGAAAACCCATTTAAATACACACCTTTGTACACTGATTAAGGGGGCCCCGAGTCAATTGTTCTTTACTCTAGAAAAAAAAATTCTGATTTACATTTATCTAATTTATCTTTACAACATAAGGCATGGTTATAAAAAACCAGGTGTTAACAAAATTCAAATAACATATTAAATATTTATTATATATTTTTTAATTTTGTTTTAGATTTACAAATATTACTGAAGGGTCATTCTGGTGTTGTCATTAAATTGACAAATTATTGTTGTTAAATTTGGGGAAATTTATATTATATGGTTCCTAATAATAAATAGAAATCAAGATGTTTTGGATTTTTACTCCAAAAATTTTTCACAAGTATAAAAGGCCTAAATGCAAATATAAATCTCACCAAGTTGTGTATTGTGTGAACATTTTCTCAAAAATCAGATGAAACAAAGTGAAAATGCCTAAAATTTGTTATTTTGAAATTTGAACTTTTAAACACCAAAAAATGCATCGACAAATCCTCGTCAATATCCATTTCATTTGTGTAACTAACTTTGTAAATACTTTATAATATTTGTATTTAATAAACCTGATTATGTCTAGTTTTCATAGCGATAAAAACATACTAGTTGGCAACTTACCATTATTGCAAGATTTTCTTGTATCTAAAAGGTCAAAGTAAAATAGTTAACTAATTTCTTTCAAATAATGCTCACAATAGAGCTAAAAATCTAGGCTTTAAAATGGCAATAAAAAACATTGATGAACTAGAGAATATATAATTATTCAAAATTGACTCAGGGGGGCCGCTTTAATGTATCTTAAAAGATCAAATAACTTGGATACTTAAGACATGCTTATTCCCGTTGTAAATTTTCATTCTTCAGTTCAGGATCAACCAATCATTAGTGAAAAATAGTTTAACAGGAAAAACAGAATTACATTATATATTATATATGTATGTGCCATATCTAGTATAAGTGGAAGATAAAAATTACTTTTGAAATTCTATGGAAACAATTTTAATTAATGAAATAAGAGAAATTTTGTGTCATTAATAATACAATAATAATTAAAATTTAAATTCAAGTATATTAACAATACTTCTGTCAGTATGAAATTATGATTTTAAACACTTTGTCCCACGAATGATGAAGTATGGCCTCAAAAATTTAGTAGACTAATGTCCACCAACGACGCAGTATGGCGTCAAAAATTAAAAAAAATTTACCTGCTTTCGGCTTGGCTGCTGGAGGGGCGCGCTGCTGTTTTGGACATTATATGCATATACTCCTGTACGGAATTCTATTGCGAACACAATGATACCAAAATGAAGGACCTAGGACAAGAATTGAGGTGACCAAAGTGAAGAGTGTGTACACATTTTATTGCTCTTGCGTGCTAACGGATAACATGCTCTCACTTTCTCTGTTTGTGGCGGCTTTATATGCAATTAGTCCTGTAGAGAATTCTATTGCGAACACTTTGATACCAAATTGAAAAACCTAGGACGAAAATTAAAATGACAAAGTTGAAAAGAGTATACAGTACACTTTTCAGTATTACCGTGCTCTGTAATGTAATGCCGGGCACGCCTTGTGGCGGCGCAATGCTCTCTTGTGGACATACACAGCTTCGCTCCTGTGCCAGTTAAGTTCACTACGGGCTCACCATAGCCCGTGCTACTTGGAACTTTTGTTCTGAGTAGCTGAATCTAAAACAACAACTCTTGCGGATAACCTTGGCTCACTTTCATCTTGTCAGCAGGTGGAGCATGCTGCGGTTTTTGACATTAAATGCATATACTCCTGTTGGGAATTCTATTGCGAACACATTGATACCAAAATGAAAGACCTAGGATGAGAACTGAGGTGACCAAAGTGAAAAGAATGTACACATTTTATTGCTCTTATGAACTCCCGGGTAACTCACTTTCACTTTCTCTGTATGCTGCGGGTGGTAAGCCAGGCTTTTGGAGTTTATATGCTTTTAATCCTGTAGAGCATTCTATTGCTAACACAATGATACAAAATTGAAAAACCTAGGATGAGAATTGAGGTGACAAAGTTGAAAAGAGTACACACTTTTCAGTATTATGGCGCGCTCCCGTGAAAGGTCCAAAACCAGCAGGGATAGTGGGGGTGCTCGCTCGCCCAGAGCCCGAAATTGTTAAAATGCACACTATATATATACAGTATATATATATATTAACAAAGACAAATGATTAAAACCAGACTATAATCTCTGGTAAAAAAAAAATAATATTCCCACCAAAGATCTAAAATATCATATATTCCCTAGTCATCTCTTCATATATATATATATAAATGCAGTCAATTATTGCAAACTCTTCAAGTCCACCACCCAGCACATCACGCAGCGCAACTACTTCATTTAGAAAAAAATGTGCATGTACTCCATTCTCTTTGCGACAGATTTAGCCTGCTGAAAAATTTTGCATGATAGTCTACTTATTGCAAAAGTATGGCAATTTCCTTCAGCTTTCATTCATACAGTACTTCCAACATTCTCCATGTATAAGTTTGTTTTTTCCCACAAAAAAAGTTGCATTCTCAAGTTTTAGCAACATACTGCTTTTCTGAATAACCTCACGACATCTACCGACCACAACAGGGTCCCATTGGTGTATATAGAAAATTAAGCCTTCTGGTCCAGCAGCAATTAGCATGGTTCCTTTAACTGCCAGATTAGCAGTTAGTTCATAAAATATTTTCCTTATTACAATGATGTAGGGACAACCTGATGTCCATTAGCATCTTGGGCGTCTGATCCGAATAAAGTGCATAATCCAATGTCGGCATCAGTATCATCAACACGAGGTTGCTTTGGACGAGGGATTTTGAACATTGGAGGAAGATTGTTCATATGGACTTCCTTCTTGAAAGCCTGTCCCACATTACGGCCAACAATCTGAAAAAAAATCAGCTGAAGGATAAAGGAATCCAAGTACAGTACTTTTACTTTTTAATGCTAAGCATCAATAAAACAAAATAAAAAAAAATATAAAAATTTTACCATCAGAAATTTCATTTATCAGAAATTTTACCATCATCCCAAACATTTTTCATACCCGAGCTGCAAAACTATATTTTTCAAGAGTAAGGATATAACCTAGCTGTGTAAATGAACCAGGACCGTGCACTTTCCCATGCTAAAAACTTTCTTTTGCTCAAGATTTTCAAGGAAATATGGAGTGAGCCAGATTCAATTAATGTTTACATTTAAATCTGTTTTTAGAATAACATTTCCTTCTACCAAGCCAAACTCTATATTCCACCGGGTGAAACTCACTGCTTCCGAAATTAAACTAGCCCTATGATTTTCTTCCCAAAATGTGCCAACTTAATTTCAAGGGCGCAAACAGTTTCTTATGGTTGACATTTTCTATGATATACTGTAATTCTGATTGAGTAAGACCATCAAAATTAAAAACTAGCCATATTTTCTTTTTTAAACCAGGCCCATTGACTTTTCCACAGCTAAACCTTTCTTTTCCTTCAGATTTTCTATAAAATACTGAGGGACTCGGATCCAATTAACAAATCAGACTGGTCAACCAAGACAGCTTCCAATGCAAGAGCAAAATCCCAATGAATATAGAGAATAATTTAACATTTATGGCCTCCTATTGCTCATTACAGTCAACTTTGTGGTTCCTGATGTACCCCACTTACTGTTTGTACTAAACAGTAGATGACCATTATTGGACAACTCTCAAAATTACTTAAAATATTACCAACAATTTATGACTAACAGTAAGTAATAGCACACTATTGAAAAACCGGAGCAGATGATAGCCACGTATCACTTGTTAATCACTTGTTAAATCAAGAGGAATATTTTAATGATATTAAAATATAATATAATATTTTTTTAATATTTACTTACTTTACTTTAATATTTACTTAATTGTAAATTTTTCTCCATAACAAATACAGTACAACAAAATAGTAAGTGTATACCTACCAGATATACCTACTGTAATAAATTATAAAAAGAAAAAATACAATTTTTACCTCAATAACCAGCTTCTTAAACAAATCTTTCTTAATTTTCTCCACCTTGGTGTTCTTTGTATTAGGATTCTGCGTGGGATTCAGAAGCTTCTCTTCAAAACGTTGGACATCATCAGCGCACACACCGGGAAGTTCAACAAGGACCTGTTACAGACCGAATATGATTACCCAAGAAAACACGATTTGCAATAAAACTTTCTTTGCATAAACATTTAGAAGAGCAGTGCAAAACAGCTACAAGTTATGGGGCCACAGCACCTCGGATTCATTTCCGATGGTTCAGATATAATAAGAGAAAGAGGTGACGCTGAGTAAAATAAGACTCGCATCCATAAAAAGACTACACGTTATGGCAACTACGTTTATCTATTTAAGTTTCAGTAGTTAAAACTATTTGCATCAACAGTAGCCAAATTTGGTGAGTGTTGGAATGGCTGTTTAGTTATGGTCGATGTTCAGTTTGTTTAGTTTGGGTGCCTGACAGCTGGGTGGACAGCGCTTCAGAGTCGTAGTCCTGAGGTTCCGGGTTCGATTCCTGCTGGAGGCGGAGACAAATGGGCAAAATGTTTCATTCACCCTGATGCCCCTGTTACCTCGCGCACGCGCTCGCTCTCTCTCTCTCTCGCGCGCGCTCGCTATCTAACCTAACCTATCTTTATAGGTTAGGTTCGGTTAGGTAGCCGAAAAAGTTAGGTTAGGTAGGTTAGGTTGTCGAAAAACAATTCATGAAAACTTGGCTTATTAGGCAAATCGGGCCTTGCATAGTAGGCTGAGAAGTGCGTTCTGGCTACTAGGTACGACATATATATATATATATATATATATATAAAAAAAAAAAAAAAAAACACACACAGTATAAACTATTTAGACATATGACTGAATAGCATTATTTACATATTTGCAGATGACAAATTAAGAACGGAAATAAATTTAGAAAACTAAAAGCTGCTAAAAACAATTTAGACAGGATTTTAAAATGGACAAAAGATTGTGAGATACAGTTTAATGCTTGCATATGTATGGTTCTAAGCCTAAATAATGAAAACAAAGATAAAAGATATTAGCTAGACAAAATGTTTGAGATATCATTTAAGATCAAACTTCCTCAACAATAAGATCAAATTGCATTCAATTTTCCACAATGGTGGCTAATTAACCTAACAGCAATAAGGACTTTCTTGCACCACCGTACAAATATACAAAAGGTTCAAGTCAATACATAAAGTTATTTTAATACGGCACGGACACCACCTGAAAAAAGTAAGAACAAATAAAATAACCCTGTGAAAACCGAAAGGTATTCCCACACGGAATACCGCACTTAATCAACAGTAAACTTACCTCTCTGATGTTTGGAAAGTGAGGCCTAAACATCTCATAAGTGGCCAGCCCAAGAGAAAGTAAGGCACTCTGGTTTGCATCGTGCTGACCGTGGGTGTGTAGCCCTTGTAGAATCGCCAGCATCACCTGCCGCACTGCTTCCGGACTCAAGTGTTGTCCTTCCCCCACTAGCCAACGTAACGCATGGACCACCACACCTACTGCTTTCAAACAAGCTCCACTGTCTTGCCACCACAACACTCTGAAAACAATAATTACTGTACCAGTAAACAAAAAGCAAACAGGACAGATAACTGCATGCAGACTTCTGGCTAAACCTGTTCCTGTCTTGTTTTTCCTAGCTAAATCTTTAATGGTACCAGCCATTTTTGTTCTCATATGATGCCAGCCATTTCCTTTCTCTCTTATTATTATTATAATAATAATAATAATAATAATAATAATAATAATAATAATAATAATAATAATTCAGGTAAAAGTACATACATACAAAAATGAGTTACAAACAATGTTGGATTACTAGATAAAGCTAGTATATACTATGCCTAAAGCCACTAATAGGCACAGCATTTTTCTCTCTCTTATGATGCCAGCATTTTCTTTCTTATTATGCCAGCCATTTTCTTTTATTGTACCAGTCATCGTCTCTCATATTATGCCAGCCATTTTCTTTCTCTTATTATGTCAGCCATATTCTCTCTTTTATTATGGTAGCTACTTTCTTTCTCCTTCTTCCAGGAATTTAACCTGACTGACCACTTCCACCACATTACAATTCATATTTATTTCACATACACAGAATTTCCATCTCTTCACTACCATAATTATACTTGTACTGTATCTTAGGCCACTTTTAAACAGATTTCACCCCCACACACACACACACCAAATTTTCAACTTGTCTACATTACGCAAATAATCGCCATTCTTATTTTCACCAATATTTTCAAATACAAAATTATGTACACAGAGTTACCACGAAATTGAATGTACAGCATTTTAGTCACAAAATTAAACGAATCTGCCCTACTTTTGTTTAACATTGATTTGTATTGTCTTCTCATTTTTGGTTTTTACATTTACAATAACAAAAACAATGCTTTTTCATATTTATAATTAATCATTATAACAGTATAATAACAAATGGATTATAACTTTTTCCCCTTTTCTGTAATTTTCTCCTCAATTTGCTCAAGAACAGTAATATAGAACATGTTGCACACAACAGTAAAATGTTCTAATTGTATATTCATGATTGTCCCAGCCTAATATGAATTCCACAAAATAGTGAAAATATTTACCTGGTAGAAAGCATTTGGTACACAAAAATATGCCTTCAAGTGTAGCTTACCCAAGGAAAGATCGAGACTTACTTGAGAAGTGTCGTCACTATGGCTTGGCAGATGATGTCACAACCCAAAACAAGCTTCCCCAATTCAGAGAGAGACTCATTAACCGAAGGGACCGCAGGTGTAGGAACCTCCATTTCTGCTTCCATGCCATCTGGAGAGTCCTGCCATCCTCCACGGGGACCTCCGATTAACACTATCTTTAACAACTGCAAGAGCATGTTAACATTTGTAATTACTGTACATGATTATATTTTCTTAAAATATTACCATTCTTTCTGGGTGAGCCTCGGAGGCTCCATGAAACCTTAAGAAAGGCGACAGGGCTTACCTCAGAGATGGATTTCTTCACAGTAATTCAAGAAAATGAAAGTCTATAGATCAACTAATTTGTTAATTAATTCCATAGGCAATTTGCTATTCAAACTTCAAAAAGCAATGAAGGAACAAATAAATTAGTTTGTCTTTCAAAATGCAAAGAACAATGAAGATATAAATAAATCTTAATAGGGACTTACATCAACAAACTCTCTGGTCAACATACGTATGAGGAGGTCTTCTAGCATTTCCTGAGTGTCTGTGTTTTCCTCCTCATAGGAACCACTCTCTATTAGACTTGTTAGATGACCCCATCGAGTACTTAACCTTTCCAACACTGTGGAGAAAATGTATTGTTACGGCAATAATTTAAATACAGAACTACAACAAGGTAGAAAGATGGATGTGGCCTGCTCTTATGAGGTTGATTTGAGGAAGGTATCCACCAGTCTTCTATGGCTTGGTAAGATTTTCCATCATAACGAGTACACAGTATTCAAAAAGTTGCTTTCCGAGCAGGCCCTTGTTACTCTTTAAAGCTAGAAGATCTTGCTGATCTCATGGATAGAACCCTTTTAGTAAAGGCAAGCCAACATTCTGTATTTGAGCAGCAGGTAACTATTCAAACATCTCTTATGGGTCACACTAGCATTAGGGAGATACTGGAGATTTTTTAATCTAGCTAAAAAATTACCTTTAAAAAGATTTATTTATATAAAGTCAAACACTGTTTAACCAGCTACTGGACATCCACTCGGGCAGAAATCCAGTTGCATGAAGAGAGGGTGTCAAGGGAGGTCTATAACCTACACTGCTCAACACACAGCTTCTCAAGTTTTTAATAGATTCTTGTATTAATAAACATTTTATTTCTCTAATCTTCACATTATTTAGGATGGAATAGCGTAGAAACATTTATTTGGCCCAGAGTAATTGTAAATATTAAGTGACTCGGGCAATAACCAACACTCCCTCTCTTGTTTATGATACAAATTTGCGACTTTATTCATTGCATTGCTAACTACTGTATTTATATACTAAAGTTTGTGCTGTATATTAGGTTATGAGTTGAATATGTGTAAAGAATGAAGAGGAGAGATGGCAGTTTCCTGATAGCAAGCTTATCAGCACCTGGATTGTACCTGGACAGTGGTTACCACCTTCCTCCTCAAAACATGCAGATAATTAGGTATACACTACTTTTACTCAAGTCATTTATTGGTTCATTCAGAAATAAGATATTATATGTCTACCCTCATTTACATTACTTGTCACACATTTGCCTTGATCCTTTGGTATCTTGAGGTTATCTTGAGATGATTTCGGGGCTTTAGTGTCCCCGCGGCCCGGTCCTCGACCAGGCCTCCACCCCCAGGAAGCAGCCCGTGACAGCTGACTAACACCCAGGTACCTATTTTACTGCTAGGTAACAGGGGCATAGGGTGAAAGAAACTCTGCCCATTGTTTCTCGCCGGCGCCCGGGATCGAACCCGGGACCACAGGATCACAAGTCCAGCGTGCTGTTCGCTCGGCCGACCGGCTCCCTATGTTACGTCGTTATGTCGTTATGTGTTATGTTATGTCGACCGGTATGTTACAAAATATTTCTCAGAGGGTGTTTGAGTATGTAACTTTTTTTTTTTTTTTTAGGATTTAAGGACAGTTGACCTCAGTGGTTGGTTGCTATCCGATCCTCATTTGCTCCCCACCTTGTGGCAATGAGATTATGGGCCCTTATGCCCAGTAAGCAAAGTCTCTCTCAGGCCTGGCATGAGCTAATATGACCAGTAATGGCCAGTGCTTGAGCTGAGGAGTGTCCTGAAAAGGCTTGCTTAACAATTCATTACAATATTGATATTGAAATTTTTGACTAAAAAGCAGCAAACAAGCCAGCCTTGAAATGTTTTTAAATTTTTTACATTTGAATAGATCTTTATTGCCATGGGGCCTGAACGAATTAGCAGATGGGCAATGTCTTGGTGAACCAAAATATGGTGTCTGCTCTATTTAAGTGACTTGGTAGATGGTCGAACTTGGTGACTGTCATACTTGCCTGGCTAAAGACCCACATTTCATATTTTTCCTCAAAGTTTGTATTATTCTTCTGCCATTAGTACTATATACTAATATACAATGCATATAATTACTCCAATATTAAATCAAAATTTAGCACTAAGAGTTCAAATGACCAACAATAACAAACTATCTCTAAAAGTGCAATTAAGACAAACCTACTCACTGTATGGACACAGATGTTTCAAGATGGGCAGCAACACCGTTTGGTAGCACTGAGGGGGGCAGCACTGGATAAATGGCTTGAGGAAGGTGCGGATGATTGGGCGGAGACGGTAGTCAGGGATGAGATGCAGGTTTGCTAGAGACGAATGTATCAGGTACTCAGCTAGGTGTGTGTGTTGGTAAAACTGCAACCCCAATGACATTCCAGCATTGCCCAGGATGTGGTAACAATTATCATGCATCATGGACAGGAAATACTGCATTCGCTCAAGAGGCTGTTGAACCTTGAATGACGATAACAAAACATATTAGACCAAAGTACATTATTCCTTAAGGAAGGATCCTGCAAATATAAAATGTGAATATAAATATTGAAGTTCTATGCTGCAGGTGAATTACATAATAGTATAATAATGCAATTGTGTGTTCATTTACTAACTTGTTAAGCAAATGTACAATGACAGTGTAGTACAGAACACTTGAGTAAAGTTGAGAAGAGGAAGACTTAAGAATATGAGTGGGCATGATGGGTGTGCGTAATGAAACAACACGTACGTAAACTATACGCAAGGAGAATCTATACACAGGACTAAATGGAAGCAGGTTAGAAGGGAATGAATGAGTTGACACTGCCAATTTACAATGAGTACTATACACCTAGCCTTTACAATGGGTGTGTGGATAGCGAGCTGTGACTATTTTACTAACAGCGGTACCAGTTTACTATGATGCTACTGAATGTGGAAGGAAATTAAAAAATCCATCATTTAATGTTATTTGGGGGAAAGGGGGAACCCTCAGTTGCCCTATGATCTTGGGGTTATCTTGAGATGATTTCGGGACTTAGTGTCCCCACGGCCCGGTCCTCGACTAGGCCTCCTTTTTGTTACATACCCTCAGGAAACAGCTCGCAGCAGCTGTCTAACTCCCAGGTACCTATTTACTGCTAAGTGAACAGGCATATTAGGATGAAAGAAGCTCTCCCCATTTGTTTCCACCTCCACCAGGGATCAAACCTCGAACCTCAGGACTACGAATCCAGAGCTCTGTCCACTCAGCTGTCAGGCCCCCTGACAGCTGCCACAACCTAGAAACATTCAAGAATTTGGAAACACATTAAACCTCCAGTACACTACGAGTGACTAGAGGGGAACCAGTACCAGAATTTGACCCCCTTCAATGTACCTTAGGGAACCCCGGAAAATTAGAGATCATCAAACAACCAAGCAAAAAAAATCACAAGAAAGTGATTTGTTAATGTGGCAAAACCACCACTTAGTAACATTTCTGCACACCAGATGGAAGCCCAATTTCGAGCTACAGCCAGCCACGCAGCTCATTTACAAGACACACCAAGAGAAATATTCTGGTAAATTCCATGAGGAAGGTCGGAATATGGCAAGGATGGGAAGCCTCAGAGATATCTCTAATGGCCATTGGTCCTCTCAGTCAATACCAGGAAAGAACTCTGAAACCATGCTAAAGCAGACTGCAAAGTTTAGACATATAAAACAACTACATATCATATGCAGGCGATGAGTCACAATAACGTGGCTGAAGTATGTTGACCAGACCACACACTAGAAATTGAAGGGACGACGACGTTTCGGTCCGTCCTGGACCATTCTCAAGTCGATTGTGAGAATGGTCCAGGACGGACCGAAACGTCGTCGTCCCTTCAATTTCTAGTGTGTGGTCTGGTCAACAACTAGATATCATGCCATGAAGTGACCACTAAAGCATGGAACCCCCTGTGCAGTGACACGGCCTTAGGAATAACCACTCATCTCGAGAACAATCAGTTAACCTTAACCGATCCCTGCAAAGAACCAAGCAGAAACATAATTGTTGCCACCTTCCCCTGACTCGGCAGTCTTAATTGGTGCAACTTAATGGTTGCCTGTTCTGAACTTTCAGAAAGATTCCTGACTATCTTAAAGATAGAGTGATCATTTGGAGGGGGTGTCAAGTGGTGTGAAATGTTCTTTTGTCTCACAGTGGGCAGTTTTATTCTCACTGGTGGAATGAGACAGCTCTCAATTGTGCTCCTTGCCACTGAACTATGAGACAAATTAAACTTGTAAGATAATTTATTTTGAGAGAGTTCAAAGTCACCTGGGACCTGGTCTCAAAGGAAATGCTATAGTTCAAGAGAGCTACTGGCCTTTCTCAGAAATACTGTTCTAGTGTATTAGGAACTGGTTAAAAATAAGTAATGTTATATGAGAATCAATTAAAAATTAAAAATAAAAGTAGATCAATAATTTGTTGAGAGAAGGTTGAATAGTAATAAAACTTACAAAAATACTACACTGCATAGTTACCTTGGGAGAGTCAATACAGGGATCAGCAACATTTGAAGTGGCAAGCCCCAAAATATTGTTTTTCTCAGCATCCGGCAGGTTGTGGGCTTTGGCATACCCTGGTGAAACACATGCCAGTGCTTCTGGATGCCAAAGACTATTGAAGAGCCGCAGCAGGCAAAACAGTTGATGGAAGAGGGGCATTACATGCGGTGTGGCAGGATTACGGCACATTAGTGCTCCATTTTCTGAACGTTCAAGGACAAATCCCCCACGTTCTGCTTTATCAGGGTCTAAAGGAAACTCAGACCGTTTTATCACAGCTAATGTTAAATTAACACAGTATATGATTTGAGCTCTGTTCTGTCCGTTAACATCATTCTCACTGGGCTCTACTGGAGCCTTATCTAAACCCACAAATGACATGAAATCTAATGGAGAGCTAAATGGCTGTTTCATACCAATCCAAATAACAGACACAGGACTCAAAACTTTACAAAGAAAAGAGCTCTGCTTATCAAAGTCATAAAAATTATTATTAATTATCATAAGCGCTTCTTGTAAAGTCACCTTTTCCATCTGTGACAGCTCTTGTTTATTATGGCTCAAACTATCAACAACACCATTAATAAAATCAAACGCTTCAAGGAGAATATCAGGATATCCACGAGCAATTTTAACCATCAAAGAGCAACCATGTCTTCTAACATTTTTCACTGCTCTACTTCGTGAATCCTTTGTTTGTCCAGGTAGGGAGAAGGTTAAGGCTGAGAAGATCTTATTTAGAACATCAGAGAGCACACTGGGTACCAGTCTTATGAAGACAAACAAGCCCGAAATGCATGAAAGCAAAGTTGACAGTATAAGAGGATCAGTTGTCTCGTAGGATAAACAGAGACGCAACAGCTGCAGACCACTCTCGGCATTGGGCATGCATCCTTCACTCTTCATTACACGGCTCATCACGCTCTCCACAACCTGGTGGAAATAATTTTGTTATGGAACACAACCAACAGTACAGTATTTGAAATCAAACAACATTACTACTGTTACAGCTATTTACAGGTACTGTAATACTAGTATAAAGAGCCCTTACCAATTACAATGTGAACAACATGAACAATGTTGAGTAATATTTAAGGCATTCACTTCATAAAATATAAGAGGGAAAACTCAGGCTTTACGTTGCGGTGAAACCTCACTTTTGTAAATCTCTAGTTCCAATGCACACTTTTCAGTCAGAATTTACTGAAGTTTCACCTTAGGGCTTGGTTTCCATTCTCTGCAACGCTTCTATGACTGCTCTTTCTGCAATTCTTACCACCTGGCCTTTCATGGTCACTTGTTATGTAGTCTATTGTAGATTATTGAACACAAGCCATATGGCTGACCCCTACCACTATTGGTGGTGGTGCACTGCCTTACCTGGTGGAGGTTCCTACTTCCCAAGCCCGGACTGGGGCCAGGCACAATTTGTGATAACTTGGTCCAACAGGCTTTTGCAAAGAACAGCCCCTAAGTCCACATATCCACTAAAACCTGGTTGATCTAGTACTTCTTGCAGGAACAATCAAACTACTCTTTGAAGAAATCCACCTTTGTTCCAGCATTATTTCTAATGCTTGCTAAGAGAGTACTGAACAGCCATTGACCTCTGATGTTCATATAGTGCTTCTGATGGTGCCTATGGCACCTTTGCTCCTCCCTGGTTCTATTCTGCTTTTCCTTCTGTATCTTTTGCTCCAGTATGTTGTTATTCTACTGTGCAAATTTGAGACCAGGCCTTCTAGTATCTACCATGTACTGTGTATATTATTTGATACCTCTGATTTCAGAAACCTCTTCTGCTCTGAAAGGGAAAGTGAGGACCAAACAGTACTCAAGTTACTCAACTTAACTCAAGTAGTCTCAATACAGTAGTATTTAAGTACTACACTAGTACTTAAGTACAGTAGTACTTAACCCAAACAGTACTCAAGTAGTACTCAACCTAACCTGAACTTAGGTTCAGGTTCATGTCTTCTGCTCCCCTCCCAGTACAGTCCACTAGTTGTTTTCTTCTCTGTGGTTAGATTGCTCAGGGAAACACAGAGGGAAGCCCTTCCACAAAACCAGTGTTTAATGTAATGAAACACCCATCCTTCCTCCTGTTTAGATAGTATTTAAAGTAAGGATGAGGACCATCGTACACATATTGACGTAAAAGGCAATTAGAAAGTAGAAATCGGTACTATTGAATTTGCACAAACTGGAAACGTTTTAGTATTGTCGCAAATAAAACTTAACCTAACCTTCCTAGGCCTAATACATGCTATTTGAGTGTACACAGTACACATATGTGCTACACTAGACCAAGTAATATTTAACTTTGGTTTTAGCTTTATTTTTGCAAGCTCTTATAAAGTGAATAGTACCAAATTCTACTATTTCATTGTCCATTACGTCTATGTATGTACGATAGTCCACATAGTTATAAAAAGTAGTATCTAAACAGGGAGATGGGTTCATATATAGTAGTTCAAATAAGGAGTTGCAAATGTCCATTCAGTCACTTGTTTTAGTGGGCTACTTTTCTGACACATTTTTTCACTTTGGCAATATGATTAATCTTGCACCCCCCCCCCCCCCTTTCATGATTCATTGGAGCCTGGTGTGGTGCCTGGGTTTGGAGGGCTCAAAGTGGGTAGCTCAGGGAAGATACAGAGTGGACCCACCAGAAGAAAGTAGGAGAGTGAAAATGTAGCTAAGGCTGAACTGTAAAAGATCACTATTGTCTTATGTGACTGGCATCATCCCCATTTTCACAACAGATGTTTTTTTTAAATTTACATACTCTACTGTAGTTTAATATCAAAACCTATCTCATTTGTAAATTCAGATCAAATTTACCTGAGATAAGGCCTCCCATTCCAGGTATGATGGCGAGAAGAGATTACAAAGCTGCTTCTCTGAAACGTTCCCTGTGTTCACAGCTCTTTGAACATGCCCAGTGAGCCACTCCTCTACAAATGCATACATGGTCTCCGGTGCTAATAGTGAAGCCATCTTAATTGTCTCCAGGGTCTCTGAACGAACCTGGGGAAAAAAATGTGAACAAAACCTTTACTGAACAAAGCATTTTGTAAAATGTGATGAGTAATTATCAAAAGAAGACGCCAAGCCAGGAAGACTACGTAGCATGCAAAGTATGACGAATATGTCTGACATAAGAAAGGCAATTCAGTATAATTGATAGTATAGTATATTAACTGAAATGTTAATTACAAGTAATTACAAATGTTTAATAAATGTTAATTAACCTTTAAAGTGCAGTTATCGTTATTCGTTAATTCCAGGGCAAATGCGATAAAAAATTGGGAAAAATCCCAATTTTCAGTTATCGCAATGTTTTTATACAAATGATATTATGGTTATAATACATCTATATGGATGAAATAAAGTCAACATAAATCATACAAATATTATATTATCCCTTTTGAGATTTTCAAATTTTCCTTAATTTTTGTATACAAATATATTGTTTTATAAGAAATTATTAGTAGTACTTTTTATTTGAGAGCCACAGGCAGAGTGGCACCTTCAATGCTAACTGAACGTTATAGGGTTAAGCATCCCTTCAGCAACACTGGGACCAATGAGCCAGAGCTCAACCCCCGCAAGCACAACTAGGTGAGTACAACAACTGCAACGGAGCCATCTTTTATGCTTCTCAACCTCATCTCCATGTTGACTATCCTCTTGGGAACATCACATTGACAATACCAAAGTTACATTACAACTCACTAACCTTATAGAAGAAATATGAGTACTCCTCGTCACTATCAAAATCAAGGCGTGAATACTGACAGCTCTCAGAATCATTCTTGGAAGGGTAGCCATGTTTCATTACCTGCAAATATAATGGAGGAAACAAGACATTTCTCAGCTGGAACTGATCAATTTTGGTAGTCATGTCCCCCAAGTTGTGCATTTTTCATAATCAAACATGTCCGCTGAGAGGAGGAGGAAGAGAGAGGAATAGTACCTAGGTGCATGACAGGTTATGTGGGTGAGTGGGTCACTTGGGTGGGTGGGTAAGTGGGTCACTTGGGCGAGTGAGTGGGTCATTTGGGTGGGCGAGTAGGTCACTTGGGTGGGCGAGTAGGTCACTTGGGTGGGTGAGTGGGTCACTTGGGTGGGTGGTTATTACAAAAACTTAATTTACATTCTGTAGAAAGACAAAAAGGTAAGAGAACATGACTGAAGTATACAAATAGATGAAATGTGCATCTCTTCCTGAATACTTTCTCCAGTGACTTAGAAGGAAGGAAGGAATGCCTATAACAATGCATTTATTGCCTTCAAGCTCAAATACATCAACTAAATAAAGTGGTTAGCTACAAGTTCTCAACATTTTTGAAGAACTACAGCAGTTGTTCCGAACTGGTGGGTCATGAAATGTTTTCTGGAGTCATGGAACCTTAATTCTGAGTACAGTATGGTACTTGTATATCTGAATCATCAAAAATTTGGAAGTCAGGCGAATATCCTGATTAGGCAATTTTTTCAATTATGAAAGTAAGGGGGGGTTGCAGGTCTTTTGATTATTAGAAAATAGGCCATTCGAGTCCATCGAGAACCACTGGTCTAAAGTAATCTGTATTACACGTTGCATACAAAATATATGAAATCTTAACTGATAATACATATTTGAAAACTATAATTCCAATCAAGGCGAGAATGGAAGAAAAGACTCCTAAAGCTTATGAGACTGAATTGATAGAGCAGGGCTATCCTTTTCCCCATGCCTATAATAAACATTTTACAGACCCTAAACAAAACTATTCACATGACCAAGAACATTTTACATACCTTACGGGATACAATTGTTATCCAAGAAGGCAAGATAGCTTGCAGCGTTTTACTTTGTGGAATATATTCGTGACGAAAGAGGTGCCCCCAAAGGCCATTGGTGAAGTTGTAGATGTGGAGACTTGGATGACGGGTAAAGGCTAGCATAGCGTCCAGGTAGACGCGAAAGTTTGGAGGCTCCCCCACACCGGCCTCTTTTCCCCACAGTGTGCACAGTTGTGAGCCAAGAGCAGTCAGTACCTACAATCAATTACTAATTAAAGCATTTCAATAGAAATGCAAATGTAAGACAAATCTATAATGCAACTCAATATGCACAACATAAATTTAGGTAGAATAATTGTCAAATTAAAATGTTTCAGTAGATAACTTAAATTGTAAAGGTTTGCGGGCGAGCAACAGGTACACGGATGTTACAGACCAGGCAACATCTTTGCCTGTGCAAACACAGCCCACGACAACTTGAGATTTATATTAGAGCATAACAGTTCAACAATAAATTTCCTAGATACAACAGTGTTCATTGATCACACGAGTAGGCGCCTCCAAACGAAGGTGTACTACAAACCCACAAATCTCCATACCTATTAGAAGTTTGATTCAAACCACCCAGCAGCTCTGAAGACTTCACTGCCATACTCCCTAGGCCTCCGCATAAAGCGAATAAACAGCATGGATGAAACATTGCAGCCCCAGCTACAGGATCTCTGGGAGGTGTTCAGGGATAGGGGTTATCCAGACAAGATACTACGCACAGCCCAGACTAAGCTAACAACACGAGCACGAGCTCAACTCCTCGGACCTCCTACTCCAAAATAAGACGATAAGAGATGGATCCTCCCGATTTTGTTTTTTCCAGGCTTAGCAACACATCTGAAGCAGAAAATGAATCGAGTATGGTCCTGGATGAAGGAGACATACGAGGAACATCCCTCCTGGATAAACTTCCCTAGACATTCTTCTATGATCACATGGAAGAGAAATAGATCTCTCGAGGACCACCTGGTCCGAGCAGATCTAAGACAGGAGACTCAGACTGCATAGTCAAGGAGCTAGTCAAGGAGCACAGTCAGCAGAACTAGCCATCCCACCCTAACCTACCAGTGGAACAAGTTTTTGGTTCCCCCATAGGTTTTTCCTACAGGGCTTGAGGAGTGGTTAGAAGGGCCTCCACATGCCAAAGACAGACCAAAACAACTCCAACATGCCTATGAAAGTTTGGAACAAAATAGACCATTCAGTATAATGTAATGCCCTTTTCTGCAGGCCCCCTCAGTGGCTCCCCAGAATTTGTGCTCTAGTACTTCAGGGCAATACCCTTTGACCAGACGTCTTTGACCTTCTCATGGCCTACTGCAAGCAGGGTCCAGCATCCTGCCTGTTCACTGAGACAGGAGAACAGCAGCTGTCAGAAGACTACTACATAATAATTTACACTTGGAAAATATTAGAGGAACTAGTTACAAATCTGCACATGGAAATATCTCCTCATGAGACCAGGAGGCATGGAAGGAAGTGCAAAATAACCCAGATGAAAAGCAGAGGTGCAATAAATATGCTGAGAGAGAAGTCTATCAACATCAAGGGCTCAAGATCTTTCAATATTCTTCCTCTACACATAAGGGACATAACTAACTGACCTCTCACAGTGTTCAAGAGAGATCTCACTTGGATCTTACCTGAAGGGATTTTTTGAAGTTCTTGGTCCAACAGACTGATGCTTGAAGTAGCCTGCAAACCCACATAGCCACTACAATCTTACTGATCCATCATTTCTTGTAGGACAATATCTAATTTTTTCTTGAAAAAGTCCACTTTTGTTCTAGCAATACTTCTTATACTTGCTGGGAGGATACTGAACAGTCTTGGACCTCTGATGCTCATACAGCATTCTCTGATAGTGCTAATGGCACCTCTATTCTTCTCTGGCTTTATTTTGCATTTCCTGTCATATCTTTTGCACCAGTATGTTGCTATTTTACTGTGCAAATTTTGGACCTGGTTTTCCAGTATTTTCCATGTACAGTATATATTATTTACCTTAATTTACCTGAATTTACCCGAGAGCCATTAATATTAGTGGCCTCGGCAAGGACAGGAAGCCGGAGGCTTGTCAATGGTCCCCATCTGCCCTGATCTTTTCCAGCGGTATTTTAAAACCCAGCAGAGTTTTGGCATTTATGGCTTCGACTATGTGATAACTCTCATCTCCTTTGCAGAGAGTATATTTTGCGAGCTTTGAGACAGTCCCAATAATTTATCTGCTTTACCGTGTCAATGTGTGCAGTACATGTGTCTCTGTATTCCCTCTAGTTCAGCAATTTCTCCTGCTCTGAAGCAGCAGCAGCAGTCAAAAGGTGATTTTTGTCTCTTCCCACTAACAGAGATGAAAAGGTTTGCCCTTCCCATTTCCTCTGATTTATTTATAGGAAGAATTTTAAGCTAAATTTTAAGCTCACTATTTTTTTTCCTAAATTTGTGATACGTAATTATTAAATTCAAAACACTATAGTAATATTTACAATACCTTACTCCAGTTAAGGAGAACTCTTTGCATTGCTCTATTCTGGAAAGAAAAAACTGAAACAAGGACAATGTTTCTTTGACAATGGCAAGGACTTTTGGCTAGGGAGGCCTCAACAAGTTTCCTTAGTCTCTTTCCATCTCTAACAGGAAATACCCATACCTACCCATTTATTTTTGTGATGTGGCTTTTCCAGATTGTCTATTGAAGTCTTTAGAACAGTATACACACAACACATTCTTTCCTCTAAGTACAATACTTTCACAAGAAGCTGACTAACTCCTGGGTACCAATTTACTACTAGGAGAACAGAGACATTAGACGATAGGAGACATGCCTAACCATTTCTGTCCCCACTCGGGATTCGAACCCGGTATTCTAATCGAGAGTCGAGAATGAACACTACTGTATGCAGGCGATGAGTCACAATAACGTGGCTAAAGTATGTTGACCAGACCACACACTAGAAGGTGAAGGGACGACGACGTTTCGGTCCGTCCTGGACCATTCTCAAGTCGAATCGACTTGAGAATGGTCCAGGACGGACCGAAACGTCGTCGTCCCTTCACCCTCTAGTGTGTGGTCTGGTCAACACTACTGTACTACCGGAAACCTCGAGTAAACTGTCTCTTACCTGTGTAAGTGTTTTGAGGAATCGGTAGTTGTGCTCGCTAAGTTCGCCCAGAACTGCTTGGTCAGCTGCATTAAACACTGCTGACATGGGAGCCTCTCCAAATAACAGTAGCAATGGACGCCGATCATCAGGTTTGCCCTTGCGGTTCACAATCTGTGCAAATGGATATCCATTACTGAAACCAAAAAGAAATGAGCTTTATAAATTAAATTTAACCTATATTTCACTTGCAACTCAACTTACCATCAACACAAAACCTCACACATTATAAACAGGGGAAAGAGATGACATCTTAGTCCATGCTAGATTATTATATAATGGAATGAGAGTTTTAGCCAGGAGGGGGTGAGGAGCTGGAAGGGAATGTGAGAAAGGAATAAGAGAAAGCAGTGAGGTATAGAGAATAAGAGTTAGGAAAAAACAGCTAATCAGGGAAAGTGGAGAGAGAGCATGGAGACAAGAAAGAGATGCAGAAATTAAAAGAAGAAATGATAAAGATGAAAATGAGAGAAAATGAGCGAGTGGAAAGAGAAAAAAACACTTTTTTTTAAAGAAGATGAGAATAAGTAAACCACATACAGTACATTCTGAGGATTAGTGCATTTGACAATGTACAGAGAGGGGTAAGCACCAGCAGAAACAAGCAGGGATACGATACATGCCATTTAGAAGTCGCTTCTGACAAAACGAATACATTTATAATTGGAGGAGTTTTGCAGCAAGATTTTATTAGTAATGTATTGTGCATTCCAGAGCAAGTCAGGAGATATGATTGTCAATTCTTCTGGCTGCATAGTGTGAACCACTATAAATTATATTTAAAATCCCACTCCAGCTCAAATTAATGTATCTAAACTATTCTATCCTAAATAATGTGAAAGATGGGAAGGGAACGGACATATCAGGCAAAAGCACTAGACCATTATGACTATGTAGCTCTTAGCAGGGATCAGGATAAGGATTTGGGATAGGAAGGAGGGAAGAAATGGTGCCCAATCAATTGGACGGTTGGGGATTGAACGCCAACCTGCACGAAGCGAGACTGTCGCTCTACCGTCCAGCCCAAGTGGATGGTGAAAGATGGGAGAAAATGAATGTTTATTAACATGAGAAACGACAAAAAAATTGGTAGAGTTGTATTTTATCAGTGTAGATGAAAGGTGGGATGCCTGAAACTTTCACACTGCTAACTTTACCTGCAACCTGTTCTCAGAGCATATCCATTACATTGAGACACCATCCGCCCTCTCAAACCACCTGAATAGTTATCTAGATATTTGTGATGGTCTGAAAGTAATTTACACTTCCAATGATGTCTATTTGTAAACTGACAAGGGAACCTTTATCCTAAATAGAGGATATTCTCAAGTTATAAATTTATTGTATTATAAATCCTTGGTTTAACATATAAAAAGCCAATGCTGAACAAATTTTCTGTGAAACAGAAGAATTTGGTTTTCTGTAAGCAAAATTCTAGGGTACACTGAATTAGTTTTCTAATTCTATATTTTACATTTCAGACAATAAGAGTATTAAGTTGACCAAACCACACACTAGAAAGTGAAGGGACAACGACATTTCAGTCCATCCTGGATCATTCTCAAGTCGATTGGGAATGGTCCAGGATGGACCAAAACGTCGTCGTCCCTTCACTTTCTAGTGTGGTTTGCTCAACATATTTCAACCACGTTATTGTGACTCCTCGTCTGCGATAAGAGTATTAACATACCAAACATAATGAAATCTAGCCTTACCAAACCTAAAAGTAAACTTAACTTAACCTAACCATGGATAGAGAGTAGATAATAGCACTAATTATGTAGTAATTTTGAATCCATTACCTCCAAGGAATCTCCTCCCAGAGATTCAGCCTCTCCTCATTCTCTGCACATAATTAACCCACCCACCCTACTGTATTTTACCATAAAAATAGTAATACAAATAATACTGCCAATTTGCACCATTAAACAATTAAAAAGAGTTGGGTTGTAGTTTTCACCAAAACTTTGCAGAACTCGTTTGACAGGATTTCGCATATGAAGACATAGTCTAGTATTCATTAGTGTAGATAAGATTCACTTTGTACTAGCATGTGCTGCTTTGTTATCTAACTTCTGTGTGAAACGTTAGTCTTTCAAAATTGATCGGTGAACTGAACACAATTAGCAATAAGGACAATAATGTGTTTTAAAATATTTGGTCCTTAATTATACCTAGTGGGTTCTAAGAGTTCTTCTGCTTCCCAAGCCTAGCTTGAGGACAGGCTTGACTTGCGAGACCTTTGTCCAACAGACATGCTTGGAGCAGCCTGGAGGCTCACTACAACCTCGGTCTGGCAGTTCTTGTAGGACACACTCTACATTTTTTCAAGTCCGCTTTTGTTCCAGGAATATTTCTCATCCTTCCTGGGAGGATACTGAACAGCTGTGGATCTCTGATGTTAATACAGTTCTCAGATTGAGTCTATGCGTGAGAATTGTGACAATAACTGTGCCTATGATGGGGCGTCTGACAGCTGGGTGGACAGCGCTTTAGATTCGTAGTCCTGAGGTTCCGGGTTCAATCCCCGGTGGAAGCAGAGACAAAATGGGCAAAATGTTTCTTTCACCCTAATGTTCCTATTCACCTAGCAGTAAATAGGTACCTGGGAGCTGGACAGCTGCTACAGGCTGCTTCCTGGGGGGGTTTGTAACAAAAAGGAGGATGCGGGGATGCTAAGCCCCCAAAATCATCTCAAGATAACCTCATGATTGTGGTTCTACTCTTTACTAGCTCTATTCTGCATTTCCAACATATCATTTGCTCCAGTATATTGATATTTTATTGTGCAAATTTGGGACTTGGCTCTACAGTATTTTCCATTTACAGGGTATGTATACTGTATATATATTATGTGATACCTCTCGTCTCCTTTCTAGAGAGTACCTTATGAGAGTTTTGAGACGGTCCAAATGATTGAGATGCTTTATCATGTGTGCGCTCTCTGTATTCCCTCTACAGTATTTCAGCCCTCTCTCCTGCTCTGAAGCAGCATCAGTCAAAAGATGCTTTTTGTCTCTCCCCATTAATAAAGAGAAAAAGGTTTTTCATCTTTCCCCATTTCCTCTGATTTATTTACTGGCAGAATTTTCAGCTATTATAACTCATGATTTTCTTCAAAATTTGTGATGCATAATGATCAAACTCAAAACACTATAGTAATATTTATAATACCTTACTCCAGTTAAGAGAACCATACCTGCAAAAGGCATTCTGCAGCTTCCATCTTGAGAGTATCCTGGCCCAGTAGAAAACACAAAGATTGTAAGAGTTTCCCATCCTCTGAGAATATGTACTGCACAGACACCCACTCCACGTAAACTGTCAGTGTCATCAGTACCACCTGCAACACAAAAATAATCAATGCAACACAAAAATCACAAATAAATGAATCAAAAGATAGTAGGAGGCTGAAAATATAGCATCAAATTTCCTAAGAAAAACATAATTAAAGGGGAAACCAAAACCTGAAGACACCTTACTTAAGATATAGCGTAGGGTATCTATCAACTCTTGCTTGTTTTCTCCCTTGTTCCAATTTCTTGTCACCTGGCTTAGTGCTTTCTCCTCATAATAACTTTATCTCCCTTTCTTGATCCATTAAACTAACATGCGCACATTTTCCCCACTGTCAAATCCTCTCCAGTGATCATATAACATTTTCTTTTTGCACTGCTCTATTCCTCCATCAAGCACCTCAATATTTTATATATAGTGAGCCTATCCTCTATGGTTCTTCTCTCCCCTAATGTTCTTAGATTGAGATCCTTTAACCTATTTTGTGTTCATGACATCATTATTTTGATCACTGACTAATGCAAATCTCTGGATGGTTTCAATCATCTTTCTTGCACTTCACAAGATACGAACCCATAACAGTGCTGCATATTCAAACAAAAAATCTGATTTAGACTGACTGGCCTGATACATGTGAGAAGAATGGAAGGAGACAAGGACCTGGAACAAAAAATTGGCAACACACACCAAATTCCCCAGTTTATACTAGAGCACCAAGACTGAAGGACATCCAACAATTAATGAGCAGCCGTCATCATTAAATTAATGAGAGGTCATCATCAGGACTACCAAAAGCCCCAACCCTTATTAACAGCCGTGAACAAAACAACAAAGAGAACTGTCAAAGTAGCAATCATCCAAACATCCCAAGATAGGTACAACCAGCTGGTTAGCTAGACCAAACTCTCACCCAGAGGACTTGGAAAAGGCAGACCTTGTAACACGGGACATGAAAAACAGGGCGACAATCAGAATCTTAGACCCCATCAATGCACAAAAATGCACACCATGTGCACAGGACAGAGCACATAATGGATCAAAGACGATAATCAAAGAACATCCAAAACATCCAGAGAAAAAGACAAGAAAACATACCTAACCCCCTAAACAGCAGTGAGAGACAATGTGAAAGTACTGTACAGCAACCAGAAAATCCAGAAATCAGGACAGAAAAAGAGAACACTAACGGCAACTGACACAAAGGACAGACTGACGCGAAGAACAGATTGAAGTTTACCTCACCAATCACCTCGCAGTGCTGTTGTACAGCAAGATGTCAACATGGCACCAAGAACCCTGTCACCCATCTCTAACAAGAAATAGGACATAAGGCAAAGAAACCTCTATGCAGTGAGTCTTCACTCTACAGAACCACGTTCTAATGGATGATAGAAATTCCTATCATCGTTCTAATTGAACGTTCTAATTCATGGATGATCCAAATAAATAGCATTTAGTACCAATTGTGCAGTGGGCCATAAAAATATTCCATTAAATAAAGAGTGTTCATCCAAATCATGGCCCTGGCATCTTGATTTGGACAACGCCAGGCTGTGGTTTCGATTAGGTGGATGCTGTGCTAGCAGCATTTACTTAAAGTGTAAACTATTGTACATTGCCTAAGAATTTATAAACAAATAACTATGATATATTATTTTACAAATTATATCATTAAATACTAATATTTAAAAAAATATACACAAAACAGCCACAAGGGATTATTATTACAGCATGTTTTATTAACTTTCGTCCTTAGCCAAGAGAACTTAAGTGCAAGTCCATATATTAACAAAATATGTTAACACTTATTCAGCATTTTGTACTAAAGAATTGTCTACTGTATGCAGTATATAAATAATGTACATAAATAACATACTTTACCTGCATCACTCGACAGTGCTGATATGCAGCTTGAGAATCTTGCTGGTTCATTTTTGTTTTATATTGCTTATAATTCTCCTCCAACAGGGAGAGGAAAAATCCAAACATGCTCTCCATATTAGCCGTCATCGCCTGATAGAGGTCACGCCGCCGCTGGTTGGATTCTAAATTCTGTTGAGACAAAATATTTCATTGAGAACTTTCTTACTATAAACAACTTAAAACACACTCCTACTAAAAAGGGGGGTATGAAAAGTTAAGTAAAGATGGGTTTATTGCAAATTTGTAGTAACAAATCCTACACAGCCTATTACACCTCTTTGCAAAGTTTTAATATACATATTTCCAAGGTGACCATGTGGTGGTGACTTTTAACCATGTTGTGGTGTAGTTGTCCAAAGCATTTACTTGGGAGTACCCAGAGTAAAGATTCATTTTTTATATTTTATTTATTTATATATACAGAGTTGTTACATTCTTGTACCATCACTAGCACACTTAGCATTTCAGGCAAATCCTTAACTCTAATATTACCCAGAATACAACCTGCCAAGTCGTTTAACAACCAGGTACCCATTTTACTGTTGGGTAAACATAGACTACAGTTAAGGATTGGCACCCAGTAAATCTTCCCTGACCAGGATACGAACCCAGGCCAAAGCGCTAGCGAAACGCCAGGCAAGTGTCTTGCTACTACGCCATGGGAACTGCTAAATCCTCCTCACAGCTCCAACCGATTTTCTCATCAATAATAATGGCGAGTTGCTGGAAATATCGAGTCATTTTTGGCCACCGAAAGTATGTTTTTCCTAATGCAAATGATAAAACTTACATATTTAAACAAGTACTTTATTGTGCAATAAAACACAATGAAGCTAATCAAAATATATAGCTCAAAAACTTCTGTATGTACTGTACATTAAAAAACTACAGTATGCTGAATGTAATGAAACTCCTCCTTCTGGTAGGTCCTTGGAGTCCCCCTCTTGCTAGCAATCCGATTCACACCAGGACTTTGCGAGTCACTGTAAGCCTATGGAGGATCAGAAGCCAAAACGTGGTCCTCTTTATAGAGGCACACGGAGCTGAGGATACAAGATCTCTCAGTCCAAGATTTAGCCATCAAAAAGACAAAGCAAGACAAAACAGATAACAGTAAGGTTATGTGAATCAAAACAGTGAATTAAAATGTCAAAACAACAGGAGTATCTTGTTTATTTAAGTAAAAAGTGAGTAATGTGTATTAGAAACAAAAATTAATACAAATTTAAGGCATACAACCCAAAAAACAAAGCCATCGAAATTAATTCCATCACCTGCAACGTAGCCACATCTTCAGCAATTCGCAGAAAAACATACAGCACCAACTCTGTCTGCGTAGGACCACGACTGGAAAGTGAATGAAGCTCTTCAAGTAGGCCTGGCCACTGCTGTGGCCATTCCCGCTTCATCATCTCTACAACAAGACGCGACACCTGAAACATGCCAATGTCATGATTTACAATATAAGCGTAGCAATATTAATATGGTATGTCAGTTTTTATTACCTAATTTATTTTACTAATAATTAATTTACTTTCTTCTAAAAAAATCTGACTATTAATCAATATGAAAGCTCATTCCTGAGTAGAGAATTCAGTTACTGAATTTCCAAAAGGTATGAATCCATTGCATCAAAATAGGTACAGTTGCAGCGTACACAAGATGATTTGTCAGAGCTCACTTTCTGTTTAAAATTGTACATATTGTTAGGCAAGGCTGTATTAATTTAGATTAGGCAATATTAGAGTCAGTTTGGCAAGATTTGTATGGTTTTCATCGAGTCAGATGAGTTAGGCAAGGTTAGGCAAGTTTTAAAATCAACTGGTGAATCATCTTGTATACAAAGTGACTTGCATCCTACCAAAATGCAGGAGTCATGAACAGTCATGTAGGATAATATTCAGGCCCCAGCATCGCAAGAAGTAACCAGAGAAATGCTAATTCCGGCTCAAAAGGCCCATCAGAGGTACACACACGAAGACCTAAAAGGTTCAACTGAATCCTCATTTGGAATCCCAAATGTGTGCCAAACAAGATTTTAAAACAACACATCACCTTCTGGGACAAGCCAACTACCTACTGACACTCAACAAACTAGCTTTTGTTGCATTTCTTCCTGACAAATACAAAATCAGCTCCCAGTTGCTTGAATAAATCTATAGTATAGCCTAAATTATGATTGTTAAAATTTATATATATATGGTACAGTAGCCTATTTAAAAAAAAAATTATTTTTCATTTTTTCAAAACATCTGTGTATTAATAAATCCACCTAGATGGGAATAAAATTAATGATTAAAAAATATGACAATACAAATTGAAAAATAATTAACATACCCAATCATGTGAGTCTCTTTACCATTAACCCTTTAGCATCCACAGATAAAGGTCTAAGTATTCTAAGCATGCATGGTATATTTTGATTACACACAGCATATCAATTGTACAACACTGCCCCTTCCTTTTGTCTACATTCACTTTGTCAGTGTGACTGTTTTTGTTTGTTTGCAAACTATCTCCGATTTATGAATCTGTCTAGTGTTGTTTGCCTTCATTTTCTGTGCTCATTGTGTTGTTTCCGTGAATTACAAAGGGATAAATAAAAACGACATCTTGGCAAACCTTGTCCTTAACATATAGTTGCTCAGAAAGTAGATCAAGTGTCCCTTCTGCCACCAACTGCATTGTATTTTCCTGAAAGAAATAAGAAAATACATAAGTACAAACATATGTATAAGCTTCTGTATAGTTCTGTACACATATACTAGTACTGTTCAGTATAATGATATACAGTACAGTATTTACTTTCGTTCACCTGGAACTCGAGTTATAGGCGGGAAGCATAAAGTCAATATATTTATTTGGATCAAGAGTAAATACACCATATGGGTCAATACACGAGGCACAAGGTGACAACCAACCATGCCTACAAAACTCTTATTTTTCAGAAAATACTTCAGAAAACATAGAATCACTTTCTGGAAAGCTGCGAAAGGCAAATTCCAGCTCTGACCTGAATGGAGAAAAAAATCATGACCCAACCATTTAAAAATTTTCTTTCAAGCATTGGCTTGTTTTGTTTTATCTAATTTTCTGGTATAATCTCCGCAGTTTTGGGTCAATCTCCGATCCCTATAATACTCTCAAATGTTTGAAAAAACCAATCTCTGGTCCTGACTTCTGACGACTCAGCATGGGTTTCAAAGGCCTGGCATGATTGTAAGGCTTAGCTGTATCAGAGCTTAACCCCTGCACTGCACACCTGTTTTTGGAAAACACTTTATAGTGCAATTGTTAATGACATTTTTTTTGTTTTTATAAATGTTCTGGTAGAGTTAATCTCAAAATGTTTCCAAACTCTACCATTTTCATCTCAAATCACAGTGATGAAAACATTAAAAAACATTAAAATACAGTATAGTCTAATTAAAAAAAAAAAATGCACAACTCTCAAGAGCGCCCGAGTGGTTAAGCACCGAGAAGCTACTCTTTCCAGGAAAAGAGCAAAATCATATCTGAAAATACAAATAAACACTGAGCAAAAATAAACTACTGGTAATCAGACCATCATGCACAAGAATTTTAACTAACCTTGATATAGACTTTTTGTTGGACGGATAAATCATTCCATTTATATTTTATTACATGTTCTAACAGCTGGAGTCCCAAATGGCGAACAAATGGCTCTTTGTCCCGGTGAGCCAGGTGGAACCCACAGCCCACTGCTAATTCACTCTCCTCCTTTATCTGCAAGGAAAACAAAAATTATTCACATTTAAGTATCCCTTAGTACTGTAGTGTTGTTTGTTGGAATAATAATCTTTTGCAAATAGGGTGACCGAGTGTATCAATGCACAAAATTAAAATAATTTTTCTCACAAATTCAAATTCAAATATAAGTAATGGTTCTGAAAATGGTCACCATGGAGTTTCTCAAAAATCTCCCTAGAAGACTTCTTTTTATTATTAAATTGTACTACAGTATAGTGCTTTATGTTTCAATACAATGAGGAAAGACACTCATGTTATCCTTGGACCCAAACACAAAAAACACAAAATCTGCTCTGAAAATAGCCACCAGTGATACATTGTCCAATTACATTATAAAACACATGTTATGTACATTTATGAGCATTCCAAGTATATACAGTATACTGTAATTATAAACATATGCAGAGAATAGGCCACAATGTGGCTGAAAACAAACAATGCAGCCAACACATGTGAAATGAAATGGAAGTGATGGTGTATTAATCCATCCTGAAAGTGGGATAAATTTTGACTTGATTTCGTTCAGGATGGACTGAAACGTCGCCATTTTTATTTAGTTTCACGTGCAAATTGGGTTATATATAAATACATAAGTAAGTTTCAGGCCAATATAATGTTAGTCTCCTGTTCAATTAATACTAATTTTTAAGTGTTTTTGTTAATATATTTGATAGATACTGACCATAAGTCAAATACTTATACTGTTGTACCCTATATAAATATAAAAAGTTTATTTAGCCAAACCTTAAAACCTGCCACTAGTGATATACAAGGTTCAAGATTTAAAAAGCGCACATGCAGTATTATTACTCTGGCCTGTGAACGTATACCCACGACAACTACCAAGACGAGACTCGCATTCCCCCAAACAAAAAAATAATTGAATTACCTTCTCTAAAAGATTATAAGATGCAAGCCTGACTGTATGTGGAACTGCCGGATCAAGCGTGGTTTTCACCGCCTGGGTGAGCTGACCTGCCGCCTCCAGCACCTGTGCGGAAACCTCCATCCTGCCTCACTGCCTCTAGATAACTCTCCTCTCCCCATACAACCTAAGGGGAAAAAAAAGGGAAGGAAACAATTCAGATGAGTGGATGATAACCGATGCATAACTTGCAAAATTCCGAAGATTTTTCAGATAACGTTTAAATGTTTTTTTAGCTTGACTAAAGAATGGACTAAAACCATGGATATCTAATTTAAAATATATGAGTACAGTATGTATAATTCAGTCCCATTAAACTTTTTTGACAAAAAATAAGAAGCTATCTATAGAAGAATCATGATTTTACACAGAAATATACTCCTGGACAGCAGAGAATAGACTCATATAGAGCTAGGAAATATTGCAGTTCAATTTCACAGGAGCGATTAAGTCCACCAGAAGTCTCGCTAACTTTATGGATTATCCGGAGACCAGCAACTTTACCCGATGGCCAGACATCTGCAACTCTCACGTCTGGTAGCTCGTTTCTCAGGAACCGCGGCACTTTAAGATCCGAGAGTAGGTAGCATGGGGGTGTCGCCATGCAAGCGAACATTTTCTAATTACGAGTAAATTAGTGATACTGAACTGTATTCCAATTTAGTGGCTGTATTCAGGTACTTGGGTATAGTTGCTGTCATTTCTAACTTTCTATAGTGGTTGTGTCAGTAGTTAGGGGTTGTTTGTCATGGTTGTTTCTGTGGTTGTGGGATTTGAGTTGTAAGGCTAGAAAAAGGGGTTGTGATGGTTGAGTAATGGTTGTGGTGGAGGGTTGTAGTTTAGAGTGTGATGATTCTGGTTGTAGTTTGTAGTGATGGTTGTTGCTGGTTTTGATGTAGTTGTGCTTTTCGAGTAAGTAATGTTTGTAGTAGTGGTAGTAACTATGATGGCCGTAGCTATAGTGATGGTTAAGTGTTGTGGTAATGGTCCTTATAGTGTGGCCGAAACCCACCACAGGTAAACCAATATAATAAAAACTAACCAGTAACTGAATGCTCACTAATCAAAAAGCTTCTTCAAGACTATTATTGAACGTATCTTTGTAAATCCACTCACCCCCAACCACGCCACCAGAGATAACAGACAGATGCGCACTAAGTTAATCAACACGTATCACCGCCATAGAACCACACAATGCAAGGCACGGCTGAATAAAAAATAAAACATGGTGTAACATCAAGACTAGACATATACAGGTTGATCTTGGGGGACGCGGTGGCTGGGTTGTAGGGGGAGGGGGGGGTGGGAGACGATCGTCGCTGTCATTTTTAGGTGTCGTAGAGTCTTCGGCGGTCCTTCTTAAACTGTTATTTGGCTAAGAATGGGGAGTTAAACTAGTCTTCTTCTTATTTAATAAAAATGTATGGAATACTTTTTAAAGGTTTAAGGAGAGGAGATATACTTTATGATTTAATTTTAATTCTTTAGCTTGTAAGATTATATTCAGCTGGATCAAGTAGCGCAGTTTCATTATTTAGGATTAATATTATTTCATCCAACTTATTTGTATTACTTTCATAAAGTATATGAGACAGATTCATGAAAAATATATGTATATACATACTTTATAAGGTTCATGTTCATCTAAATAACACATGTTCACTGTTATTTTCATACTTATCGTACATGAACAAATTGCTAACTGCTTACACTTCAAAACAAAACAATCCAATGGGCGGAATTTTCAAACCATGAAATGTTTAAGAAAATATTTTGTAAAGGATTTTAAGTAAATAATATGTAATCATTTGGAATATAGTAATATACCAGTATTGTTTATTTTAATAATCGATATAGTAGTGAGACGTATGAATTGATTAAGTGACTTCAGACCAAATGGTATGAGGTATTTGAGCTCTGTAATTACTTCATATACCCTCAGGAATATTGAAAGATATTATTGTGCTGATATTAGCCTCCACCAGATTTTTGCTAGTGGAGGCTAATAGCCTCCTTACCTAATAGCTAATAGGCTAATAGCTAATAGCCTGGAGGCTAATAGCCTCCTTGTAAGAGGCCTTACATTTCATGTTCTCTCTTTTATTTTTAGTCAGAATTGATTCGTTTTTGTATTGAGGCTGGTATTTTCTCTCCCTGATTCTAAGTAGGACTATAACCATCCTGTGAGATGGGAATATTAGATGAACTTATAGCTAGTTTTTGATCTACACTGTGTAATCTTTCATATAGAATAGGATAGCAGCACATTACTGTACTGTATATACCTAAGGTTGTTAATAAAATAAATAAATTGATTGTTGTCATAATAATAATCATAATATGTATATATATATATATATATATATATATATATATATATATATATATATATATATATATATATATATATATATATATATATATTTTAACATGTGCAAACAAATTAAGAAGTAAAGTTTACAATATACATGTTACTAAAGTGATACTTAAAGCTAAAGACAGTAGAGTACTTTATTTCAGAATTTATAGCTTTACTGGTAAAGTTATGAATTATTAATGGGGTAAAAGTAATATGTAGTTAAAATGGTGCCAGGTTGGACATCCAGCAAGACAGATGGAAAGGGATGGTAAAATTTTAGTTTAATTCACTTTATATGTACCCCCCCATACCCTTCCCCCATACCCTTCCCCCATACCTTTCCCCCATACCCTTCCCCCATACCCTTCCCCCATACTATTCCCCCATACTATTCCCCCATACCCTTCCCCCATACCCTTCCCCATACCCTTCCCCCATACCCTTCCCCCATACCCTTCCCCCATACCTATTTCCCCCATACCCTTCCCCCATACCCTTCCCCCATACTATTCCCCCATACTATTCCCCCATACCCTTCCCCCATACCCTCCCCCATACCCTTCCCCCATACTCTTCCCCCATACCCTTCCCGCATACCCTTCCCCCATACCTTTCCCCCATACCCTTCCCCCATACCCTTCCCCCATACCATTCCCCCATACTATTCCCCCATACCCTTCCCCCATACCCTCCCCCATACCCTTCCCCTATACCCTTCCCCCATACCCTTCCCCCATACCCTTCCCCCATACTATTCCCCCATACCCTTCCCCCATACCCTTCCCCCATACCCTTCCCCCATACCCTTCCCCCATACCCTTCCCCCATACCCTTCCCCCATACCCTTCCCCCATACCCTTCCCCCATACTATTCCCCTATACCCTTCCCCCATACCCTCCCCCATACCCTTCCCCCATACTATTCCCCCATACCCTTCCCCCATACCCTTCCCCCATACCCTTCCCCAATACCCTTCCCCCATACTATTCCCCCATACCCTTCCCCTATACCCTCCCCCATACCCTTCCCCCATACCCTTCCCCCATACCCTTCCCCCATATTCTTCCCCCATACCTTTCCCCCATACCCTTCCCCCATACCCTTCCCCCATGCTATTCCCCCATACCCTTCCCCCATACCCTTCCCCCATACCCTTCCCCATACCCTCCCTGTCAATTATTCCTATATTCCTATTTGCAATCATCAAATAATTTTAAATTGCAATTATTTCTTATTTTTAATGTATATTATCTTAATACGTGCCCAAAACACGGCGAATAATCAGCTTTTTGATAAAATAATATTATAGATATAAGCAAACGCAAATTTATATATACATATATAAATATACGTGTACTTATATATACTTCAAACTATTAATGTATCTAATTTCCTTTCTGTATATTTGAGAGGCCCCTGTGGGACCCAACAGTCAACCATCTCACAGATGCCTCGTCGAAGTTTATTTTTTATTAAGAAACAAATACCTTTTTGATATTCCAAGAGTACGACTTAATCAAACTAGAAATGCTCTACAAATCAAGGGACCAGAATGTGGAATGACCTTTCCAATCAATGTATAAAAATTCATGTTCATGTTCTACTATGAATTTATGTTCATGTTCTATTTAGTTTATACCTAAGAAGCTTAGGTATAAACAGCAATGTGCTGCTACCCTGTTCTACATGAAAGATTACAGAGTGGAGATAAAAAACTAGCTATAAGTTGATCTAATATTCATATCTCACAGGATGGTTACATGGAATCATGGGAGAAAATATCAGCCTCAATACAAAAATAAATCAACTCTTTGATTTGTTTCGATTCTTTGATTCGAAATCAAATCAACTCGATTCTTGATTAAGAATCAGGAGAGAACATGAAATGTAAAGCTGATCTATTAGCCTCCATTAACAAAATTTGTGTACAGCATAAGAATATCTTCCAATATTCCTAAGTGTATGAAGTAATTACAGAACTCAAAGTCCCTCATACCATTTGGTCTGAAGTCACTTTATAACAGGGCAATCACAGGTATAGTACTCACCTAGTTGTACTCACCTAGTTGTGTCTGCAGGATCGAGCATTGACTCTTGGATCCCGCCTTTCGAGCATCGGTTGTTTACAGCAATGACTCCTGTCCCATTTCCCTATCATACCTGGTTTTAAAATTATGAATAGTATTTGCTTCCACAAATAGTGTTGGTGTTGGAGGCTATGTTCTAGCGTCGTCGAAAGTTTACAGCAGCCGTCAACCATCTCACAACACAGTCTCATCGAAGCTTAGAACAGTCTCGTCGAAGCTTAGAACAGTCTCGTCGAAGCTTAGAACAGTCTCGTCGAAGCTTAGAACAGTCTTCGACGAAACCTATTTTACCCAGGTACCTATTTTACTGCTAGGTAACAGGGGCATAAGGTGAAAGGAACTCTGCCCATTGTTTCTCGCTGGCGCCTAGGATCGAATCCAGGACCACAGGATCACAAGTCGAAGTTTAACAACCATCGCACAGAACACTCTCGTCAAAGCCTCCAGCATCACCTTCCAGGTATACATCATCACTTTAAAGTTTATATCACCCTATAGGCCATTATAATCCTACTAAAGGCTTATATCACCACCCCTGTATGTCAGTATCATCACACTAGCCCATATTAAGACCACGTAGGCCTATTTCATCACCCTGTAGGGAAGTATCATCAACCAGTAGGCTTATAAAATTACTATTTAGTTCCGTATCATCATCCTGTAAGCCTATACTATCCCCTGTATGTCTATATCACCCCTTTGTAGGCCTATATAAAGAAATTGTTATAGTTCCCCGTAAGAGTTGGTTAGGATACTGTAGTGCCAGCCGGCCCGTTTTCTGTAGTTGCCACTCCATAAAAAATGTAGCTGTTTTGTCTAGCCAAAAACGTTCGGCCATAAGTGAGGAATAGAGAGGATGAGGTTGTGAGGGAGAGGTGGGAATATGAGGGAGGGAGAGGTGGGAATATGAGGGAGGGAGAGGTGGGAGTGTGAGGGAGGGAGAAGTAGGAGTATGAGAGAGAGAGAGGTGGGAGTGTGAGGGAGGGGGCAGGACAGTGATTTGGTGACTACTCTAAGGCCTCTCACCCCGCCTCCTGTGGTTATTGACCTTCCTCACTAACATTAACCTCTCATGTTCGCCTCATCTCCCTCATCTTTGTAGGTCAAGCTTCGACGCCAGCTTAATAATAATAATAATAATATAGTTAGGTCTACATTTGGGTACACGTTTCTTTGTTGTTGTTAATACACAGTTTATTTTAATTTTACTATTTGTAGTCGAAATGCATCGGTTAATAAACCTGCGAGTTTAGATAATATTTCCATCTCTAACTTATATATGACAAAGCTAGAACTGTGTACGTATTCATGTGATGAATCCTTATATTCATCAACAAATATAGAAGTTGTATTTGAGTATTTTTTTATGAAGTAATAATGTATCTACATAATTCGGGAGGAAATTTGTAGCATTATTCGCTATGGATTTTTCTCGGTATTGTATTTTCTGTATGTATTGTATGTGTGGAAAGTGTGAGTGTGGATGTGCGTGTTGGAGGCCCGGCGGTGTTGACCTCTGACACACTCACTACACCATATTCGCTAAATTCTTAGCATTCCTTTAACTACTCCACAAACTCAGCTGCATTAAAATGACATTTGACGTGCTGTTCAACTACTACACAAAGTCTCGTTAATATTTGTGTTTACTCTAACTACCTAAACAACTCAGGAGCAATAAACGCGAAATTATCCCCCGGTGAATTTGCCTGCTCCTCCCTATAGCTTTCAATATGGCGTCGTTTGTAAACTGTTGACACAATATCGATGTGAGACGAGAGGCATTTCCCACTAATACCAAATGAGGCATTGCGTTTCGTCGCAGTAGGGACGATTGACAGGTCAGTGGTACCTAGGTTCACCCGTCCTTTGCGCTATAAGCCTTGCCACTGTCGGAAATCCTCCGCGCTGGAGAAATGTATACAAGTGACTTTGTGATCTTTCAGAACAAGAAGAAAATAACAGTGTTACGAGGAGTCATATTCGCGGGTGATATAAACGCAGCCGTTCGTACGAGTTACGACGCCGGTTCTGGATTACTATTTGTCGGCGTTGAAGTCTCCAGCCAGGCAGCGAGTAGGGGAGAGGGGAGAGTTGGGGGGGGAGTGAGTGCTGTGGTGGCGGGTGATTCGTGTGAAGCAGGTCATTAGTGTACTACAGCTCACAGTACTGGTGTGTGGCTCTCCTGCCTCTCACACAGTACTGGTGTGTGGGTCTCCTGCCTCTCGCACAGTACTGGTGTGTGGGTCTCCTGCCTATCGCACAGTACTGGTGTGTGGCTCTCCTGCCTCTCACACAGTACTGGTGTGTGGCTCTCCTGCCTCTCACACAGTACTGGTGTGTGGCTCTCCTGCCTCTGCCACAGTACTGGTGTGTGGCTCCTGCCTCTCACACAGTACTGGTGTGTGGCTCTCCTGCCTCTCACACAGTACTGGTGTGTGGCTCTCCTGCCTCTCACACAGTACTGGTGTGACGCTCCTGCCTCTCACACAGTACTGGTGTGTGGCTCTCCTGCCTCTCACACAGTACTGGTGTGTGGCTCTCCTGCCTCTCGCACAGTACTGGTGTGTGGGTCTCCTGCCTCTCGCACAGTACTGGTGTGTGGGTCTCCTGCCTCTCACACAGTACTGGTGTGTGGCTCTCCTGCCTCTCACACAGTACTGGTGTGTGGCTCTCCTGCCTCTCACACAGTACTGGTGTGTGGCTCTCCTGCCTCTGCCACAGTACTGGTGTGTGGCTCCTGCCTCTCACACAGTACTGGTGTGTGGCTCTCCTGCCTCTCACACAGTACTGGTGTGTGGCTCTCCTGCCTCTCACACAGTACTGGTGTGACGCTCCTGCCTCTCACACAGTACTGGTGTGTGGCTCTCCTGCCTCTCACACAGTACTGGTGTGTGGCTCTCCTGCCTCTCACACAGTACTGGTGTGTGGCTCTCCTGCCTCTCACACAGTACTGGTGTGACGCTCCTGCCTCTCACACAGTACTGGTGTGTGGCTCTCCTGCCTCTCACACAGTACTGGTGTGTGGCTCTCCTGCCTCTCTCACAGTACTGGTGTGACGCTCCTGCCTCTCACACAGTACTGGTGTGTGGCTCTCCTGCCTCTGCCACAGTACTGATGTGTGGCTCTCCTGCCTCTCTCACAGTACTGGTGTGGTGGTATAGCACTTCGTTGCTCAAGCCTGGAAGGGTTCTGAATGAGGCTCATGTGAGACATCTATGTGTTGAGAATCAGTGATATATTTATAGAAAATTTGAGTAAAAAATATTGAGAGCACTATAGGTAACTTATAGTGTGCGACTATAGCTGCTCTACGGCGAGTTGTGCGGAAATATTAACAGGAAATTTTGTTCCTAAAGTGAAATCAATGTAATTCTTAATGTTACTTTTTAAGATTCGGTAAATGACATTGCAGCTGGATGATATGGTCTGAGCTTCAGGTATGTTTTGATTTTTTTGCATGTATATATGACATATATATATATAATATATAATATATAATATATAATATATATATATAATATTTTATCTCCGGGCTGGTACAAATGCTACTTTACAGTTAATATTATTTGTCATGTGTAAAAATTAAAATGCAAAAAGACTAAATAAAAAACATGAATTTAACTATTAAGATAAAATGTATTTTTTATTTTTATTTTTTGTAATGTATTTTCCATTTTAATTTTTACGTATGATTGTATTTTAATAAAATAATATTACGAAGTAACATTTGGTCCGCCTTATATACTATTAACATGTTAGAGAGAGCCTTACTAAATGTGCTGGAAGGTAATGTGTGATGATAGAAATCCTTGGAGCCGACTGTTGCATTTGACACTAATATGGTCACTGAACTGTGTGACGCTAAGTTCCATTGTTGACGCGTCTCTAACCTAACCAAGTTAACCTAGCCTAGCCAAACTCTTAGAGAAGTTGGGGCGACTTGTCGCGGCGGGCTGGGGCGACTTGTCCTGGTGGGCATCCCCATTACCCAGAATCAACCTTAATTATCTTAAACCTTTTCCAAGGTCTGTCTCTACCGAGATGTACCCATGCCACATGTGCTAATGAGGGCGAGAAAATGATACAAAAGACATAAAAGTACATAAAAATGAACTACTGTCAGTAATAGTAATAAACAAAAATATTTTTACCTGTTAATTGCCATCATCAGTAGAACTCTTAATTATAATTAGACAAAACCCCAGCATATTAAATATTATATAAAAACACGAACTGTGTGTGTGTACACACTCGCCAGACGTACATGCACGCGTTCGTGTGGGTCAGGGAATGCGGCAAGAAATCCGACTTAAGAAATCTGTGTTTCCGGCGCAATATTATGCAGGGGGAGTTGTGTAAAATCCTGGTTTGTGCCTCGGAGAGGCTACGGGATCCAGTAAGTTCAGTAGAACTTCGGTTTCAACTCTTTTTTTTTTTTTTTTTTTTTTTTTTTTTACCCTGTCGTAGCTCAGTCGATTAAGGCAGTGTCTGGGATGCTCCCGGACGCAGGTTCGAATCCTCGTCACGACCCTTGTGGATTTGTTCACAGGTAATCCATTTTTGTAATGGTCAAGGACCCCTATTGTGGGACATTCCAGTAACCTACATTATACACCACTATGTTAATGAGGCGCACCACATTGTGTGTTAATTAATACTAATAACTAGTTTCATGGGGAGGGGACAGGCGGCTTGTGTATGTATATAGGTGTGGCAGATATCCGGGTCTTCGACGCAGGGTGCAGTCGCACCTCCACAGATCTCCAGTATCAGCTCTTGATACTGGTAATGGCTCAAAAGGGCCGCCACTTACGGGCTATTCATGCCCGTGCCACCTTTTGGGGGGCTTAATCTCCATCAATCTCCATCAATCCGGGTTTTCCCTCCATGGTTGTACAGCTCTACAACAGTTGAGACTTGACTCCCGGATACTGGTTCACTGCTAATCACAACCCCTCATGCTCAGCTTGCTGCTAAATTAAGCACCGTAGAACACATTCACAATATACAAGCTGAAAAACAACATAGCACAGACCATATACACTGACGGATCACTCAATACAGCTACAGGGAGGGCAGGGAAGTGCTGTTATTGCTCATCAGCCCGATGGCAGCACAATTCAAAGGAATATGCGAGTCATGGTTATACTCCCATGGTGGATGGTGGGATCATGGTTATACTCCCATGGTGGGGCCATGGTTATACTCCCAAGGTGGATGGTGGTTGAATAATTATAATATGGGAGGATATTAATAAGGTGTTAAACATATTAACACAAAATAGAACACGAAGCAATGGATATGAGTTGGGTAAATTTAGATTTAGGGAAAAAAGCCTGGGTAGTTAATTTGTGGAGTATATTGCCGGGTAACACGTGGGGGTGAGTCACTTGATTGTTTCCAGCGTAGGATAGACACATGAATGTTGTTTGGGTGGATACAAATGGGAGCTGCCACGTATAGGTCAATAAGCCTTCTGTCGTTTTCTTACGTTCTTATCTACCTACCGTCTTTACCCTCTCGTTACACTACTGTTCAACCTAATTATTCTGTTTCATTGATATCGAGTATCTTAGATGTCTGGATCATATCCCCTTTGTTTCTTTTTGCAGTCTTGGTGCCTGAAGGCTATCCTGATGTTAGCTTAGTATATCCTGCTGATGGTGTCTCGGGAGGTTACCTTGAGGTTACCTTGAGGTGCTTCCGGGGCTTAGCGTCCCCGCGGCCCGGTCGTCGACCGAGTGTTTCAGTGTTGTGACAATCCCTTTACCTTTTTCTCGCAATAATTTTCTTCCTCTTGTTACATATTCTTCTTCCTCCTCCCCCATCCTTATCCTATAACCTTGCACGTATCTGGATTGGAATTCAATAGCCATTTATCCAACAATGACTGTAGCTTATCCAAGAGTGTGTGTGTTTGTGTGTGTGTGTGTGTGTAGCTACCTAAGTGTAGTTACAGGATGAGAGCCACGCTCGTGGTGTCCCGTCTTCCCAGTACTCTTTGTCGTATAACGCTTTGAAACTACTGACGGTGTTGGCCTCCGCCACCTTCTCACTTAGCTTGTTCCAACCTTCTATAACATGGTTCGCAAAAGAGAACTAATGTTTTTTTTTCAGCTTTTTTTTCCGAAGCTCGGAAAATCGGCGTTCAATTCCCGACCGTCCAAGTGGTTGGACACCATTCCTTCCCCCCGTCCCATCCCAGATCCTTATCCTGACCCCTTCCAAGTGCTATATAGCCATAATGGCTTGGCGCTTTCCCTTGATAATTCCTTCCTTCCTTTTTTTTTCCTTATCTTGAATCTATGGCCTCTTTTGTGTGTGTGTGTGTGTGTGTGTGTGTGTGTGTGTGTACTCACCTAGTTGTGTTTGCGGGGGTTGAGCTCTGGCTCTTTGGTCCCGCCTCTCAACCGTCAATCAACAGGTGTACAGATTCATGAGCCTATCGGGCTCTGTCATATCTACACTTGAAACTGTGTATGGAGTCAGCCTCCACCACATCACTTCCTAATGCATTCCATTTGTCAACCACTCTGACACTAAAAAAGTTCTTTCTAATATCTCTGTGGCTCATTTGGGCACTCAGTTTCCACCTGTGTCCCCTTGTGCGTGTTCCCCTTGTGTTAAATAGACTGTCTTTATCTACCCTATCAATCCCCTTCAGAATCTTGAATGTGGTGATCATGTCCCCCCTAACTCTTCTGTCTTCCAGCGAAGTGAGGTTTAATTCCCGTAGTCTCTCCTCGTAGCTCATACCTCTCAGCTCGGGTACTAGTCTGGTGGCAAACCTTTGAACCTTTTCCAGTTTAGTCTTATCCTTGACTAGATATGGACTCCATGCTGGGGCTGCATACTCCAGGATTGGCCTGACATATGTGGTATACAAAGTTCTGAATGATTCTTTACACAAGTTTCTGAATGATTCTTTACACAAGTTTCTGAATGCCGTTCGTATGTTCGCCAGCCTGGCATATGCCGCTGATGTTATCCGCTTGATATGTGCTGCAGGAGACAGGTCTGGCGTGATATCAACCCCCAAGTCTTTTTCCTTCTCTGACTCCTGAAGAATTTCCTCTCCCAGATGATACCTTGTATCTGGCCTCCTGCTCCCTACACCTATCTTCATTACATTACATTTGGTTGGGTTAAACTCTAACAACCATTTGTTCGACCATTCCTTCAGCTTGTCTAGGTCTTCTTGAAGCCTCAAACAGTCCTCTTCTGTTTTAATCCTTCTCATAATTTTAGCATCGTCCGCAAACATTGAGAGAAATGAATCGATACCCTCCGGGAGATCATTTACATATATCAGAAACAAGATAGGACCGAGTACAGAGCCCTTTGGGACTCCACTGGTGACTTCACGCCAATCGGAGGTCTCACCCCTCACCGTAACTCTCTGCTTCCTATTGCTTAGATACTCCCTTATCCACTGGAGCACCTTACCAGCTACACCTGCCTGTCTCTCCAGCTTATGTACCAGCCTCTTATGCGGTACTGTGTCAAAGGCTTTCCGACAATCCAAGAAAATGCAGTCCGCCCAGCCCTCTCTTTCTTGCTTAATCTGTGTCACCTGATCGTAGAATTCTATCAAGCCTGTAAGGCAAGATTTACCCTCCCTGAATCCATGTTGGCGATTTGTCACGAAGTCCCTTCTCTCCAGATGTGTTACCAGGTTTTTTCTCACGATCTTCTCCATTACCTTGCATGGTATACAAGTCAAGGACACTGGCCTGTAGTTCAGTGCCTCTTGTCTGTCGCCCTTTTTGTATATTGGGACCACATTCGCCGTCTTCCATATTTCTGGTAGGTCTCCCGTCTCTAGTGACTTACTATACACTATGGAGAGTGGCAGGCAAAGTGCCTCTGCACACTCTTTCAGTACCCATGGTGAGATCCCATCTGGACCAACAGCCTTTCTAACATCCAGATCCAGCAGGTGTCTCTTGACCTCCTCTCTCGTAATTTCGAACTCCTCCAAGGCCGCCTGGTTTACCTCCCTTTCTCCTAGCACAGTGACCTCACCCTGTTCTATTGTGAAGACCTCCTGGAACCTCTTGTTGAGTTCCTCACACACCTCTCTGTCATTCTCTGTATACCTGTCCTCGCCTGTTCTAAGTTTCAATACCTGTTCTTTCACTGTTGTTTTCCTTCTGATGTGACTGTGCAGTAGCTTTGGTTCGGTCTTGTCTTTGTTTGCTATATCATTTTCAAAATTTTTCTCTGCTTCTCTTCTCACCCTTACGTACTCATTCCTGGTTCTCTGGTATCTCTCTCTGCTTTCTGGTGTTCTGTTATTCCGGAAGTTCCTCCACGCCTTTTTGTTCAGTTTCTTCGCTTCCATATATGCCCTATTATACCATGGATTCTTCTGTTGCTTCTCGGATTTTTCCCTTTGGGCCGGGATGAACCTGTTTACTGCCTCCTGACACTTTTG